ATTATTTAATACATTTAAACCACACAACAACCAAATTTGTAAATTCAACTTTGTAATCTTTAATAGAGAATAAACTTTGAATTTAATTGAATAGGGAAAAAGGGAAGGGGGGGCAGGGGTCGTCCTCAAAAAAGGGGAGGGAGGGGCAAGGGAGGTTTTGTGGGGGGGGCCCGGACTTTCCAGCAGGCTGGGAGAGGGGTTTGAAAGGAGTAAAGGAGAGAATGGTATTTGGGAAAGACGACTGTTGGGTGTGAGCAGGGTAATATTTAGTGAAGGGATTCAGGGGAACCCGGTTTTTTTTATATAGTTGAAATTTGGGCCCGAAATGGGAAGTACAATGCCTGCATTTAAAAGGGGGGTTTGGGGTAATGGGGGGGGTTTGGAGGGTATGTTGGTACTTTTTAATACATGCTTTTAAAAATGTTGTATTTTGAGCACCTCTGCAAAAAAACAGTGATTATGGTGGTGAGGGGAAAATGTTGAATGATGATGAAAACTTTTCTTTTGGGGATTTTTTTCATTTTGGGTCACCCCGCCTCGGGGGAGACGGGAAAACTTGTTAAAAAAAAAAAAAAAAAAAAAAAAAAAAAAAAAAAAAAAAAAAAAAAAAAAAAAAAAAAAAAAAAAGTTTCTTTTATATTCACAGGTAATGAATTCAGATTTTTGGGCCTTTTATGTGAATTGATTTTTGCATAGTGTGGTGGACACGAGGAACATCAAAGATGATCGTGATTTTGTTATGGTATGTGTTCGTTTTTAGGGTTGGTAAGGAGAGTTTGAGGGGGGGTTTTCATCCGAGTTAAGTGTTCTATGTATGTAGTGGTACAATAATAAGTACGGGTGTTTTTTCATGAGTAGGTTTGTTTTGAATTTTGTGGGGGTTTTACTGCTTTTGTGGGGAATTTTATCTCGACTGCAGCCTTTTGTTGGGTAATTAATGGTCTGGTGGGGTTTTTGTTGAGCCCCATGCACAAATTCCAAGTATGATAGGGTAAATAAGTAAGGAAAGGGTCGGAGGATAGAGGAGCAAAAATACCGTATCTTTGTTAGTTGCCCACGGTCTTGGAAATTTTCTTGGAAATTTGTTGACAGTGTTTGAAATTTGATTTATTATCAGGGGGGTTCCTAAAAATTTTCCCCCTGTGGTTTGTGATAAAGGGCTGTTTATCATTAGTTAAGGGGTCTGTAGCTCTGTTTCCAAACTGAATGAAGTAGGTTTTGTCAATGTTGAGAGTAAGTTTGTTAGTCATGATCCAGGTAGATATTTTCTGTAATTCGGTATTCACAGTACGTATTGGCTAGCATGACTGGGCTTGGATGAGAGAAGACGTATGTAGTGTCATCTGCAAATAGTGCAAGTTTGAGTAGTTGTGAAGCATTTGGTAGGTCATTTATGTAAACGAGAAAGAGAAGAGGGCCAAGGACATTTCCCTGTGGGACACCAACTGTAATTGGTTGTGTGGAAGAGTTTGCTCCATTTGTGTACACATATTGGCTTCTGTTGCTGAGGTATGACTTTAGGTAGTTGAGGGAGTGCCCTCTTATACCATAGTGCAGCAATTTAATGTGGAGCAAATCATGGTCAACTGTATCAAAAGCTTTACGTAAATCAATGAAGATCCTCAGTGGTAATTCTTTTTTCTCTAGTGCAGTGTATATTTTTTCTAGCATGTGTATAATAGCATCATTCATATTTTTATTAGGCCTGAACCCAAACTGACAGGGGCTGAGAATGTTGTGGGAGATGAGGTAGGAATAGATTCGTTTATGAATTAATTTTTCGAAGATTTTAGAGAGAGGGTCTAAGTCGGATATTGGCCTATAGTTATTCAAGTCTGTTTGGTCTCCTCCTTTATGTATCGGGGTGACCCTCGCTATTTTGAGAACTGTAGGGAAGGTAGAGGATTCGATGGATTTGTTGACGTGTGTTGCAATGATTGGTGACAGCACTTGCGATGCTTTTTTGTATATAAAGGGTGGTAAGGTATTTAAATCTCCTGTCTTGTTTTTAGTGTGTTGATAATAAGGGAGACTTCTGTTGGGTTAGTCGGAGCTAGGAGCAGTGTGTTCGGGTAGTTGCCAATGAGGTAGTCATTGGGTGGGGTATTTGAGCTTGGGATTTTATTGGCAAGGTTTTTTTCCTATAGTGGAGAAGAAATCATTGAGTCTGTTTGCTGTTTCAGTTGGTGGGAGTTGGGGTTCATCTGGTTTTGTTAGTTCAATTGCGCTATTTCCTGAAATCTTATTTGTAAGTGTGATGTTATTATTGTTTTATTCTTCATGTATCATTGCTTTCTGTGTAGATAAATGTATATTTCATGTAGAAAACATTTGTTTAATACTTTTGGGTGTCTGAAACGGATTAATTGGATTTCCATTATTTCTCATGGGGAAAATTAATTTGGAATAAGTCAGATACGGGATAAGTCACTCTCTCTGGAATGGATTAATTTCGTAATCCGGGGGTCCACTGTATTCCAGTAATTAACTGATGCATCCTAAATTTGTTACCTAAAACATCAGCGCCTGTGAGAATTCCTATGCTGTCACCTATTCTGTGGTTACAGGGGTTGGTCAAGCTCTCCCCCTCTTTAGTTGTGTGTGTGTGTGTGTGTGTTGATGTGTGTGTTTAGTCACCATTTTGTCGTGTGTGTGTGTGTGGTCGTGTGTGTGATGTGTGTGTGGTGTGTGTGTGTGTGTGTGTGTGTGTGTGTGTGTGTGTGTGTGTGTGTGTGTGTGTGTGTGTGGTGTGTGGTTGTGTGTGTGGTGTGTGTGTGTGTGTGTGGTGGTGTGTGTGGTGTGTGTGTGTGGTGTGTGTGGTTGTGTGTTGTGTGTAAAGGGGGAGGGAGGGTGGGTTAAGGTAAAGTGTTAGAGGTACAGGATGCTTTTGAGAATTTTCTGTCTGTGGACAGGTCTGAATACTTGGGTGAATATTCATGTTCTTTTTTCTTGTTTTTATAGCTTGATTCTGTAAGGATATTATTAACTGCTGTCTGCTTTTTAATACACATTCTTACATTCTCATGTGGTCAAAATGTAAGATGTGCTAACTCGCCTCACACACACAGTATGAAAAAACTACAAATAAATACTGTATATAAATACTGGTAATATATACATATATGGGAGCAAGGGGCTAGTAACCCCTTCTCTTGTATAAATTACTAAATTTAAAAAGAGAAACTTTTGTTTTTCTTTTTGGGCCACCCTGCCTCTGTGGGATATGGCCAGTTTGTTGAAAGAAGAAGAATATACATATATACATTTTTTTTAACACACTGGCTGCTGCCCAGTGAGGTAGGGTGACTCAAAAAAGAAACACTTTCACCATCATTCACATTATCACTGTCTTGCCAGAGGCACATAGATATGACAGTTCAGACATCCCTCCAAACAAATATCTCCACCCCTCCTTTAGAGTGCAGCACTGTACTTTCCCACCTCCAGGACTCAAGTCTGGCTAACCGGTTTCCCTGAACCCATAAACAAAAACTTACCTTGCTCACACTCCGATAGCACGTCAAATCACAAAAATCACTCGTCTCCAGTCACTCCTAACACCCTCACACATGCCTGCTGAATGTCCAAGCCCACTGCTCACTAAACCTCCTTTACCCATTCCATCCTTTCCTAGGATATATATATAATACAATGCTAAAAACACATTCTGAAAGAAACAGAGATGGGGAAGACTGGTGCATTTCAACCTCTGAGATCCTCCTCAGCAAAAAAGGCCTTCAGCAACCCCTACATTTCAGTATACATATGTCTTTTTCGTTTGTATCGACAAGTGTTTATTACACACTGATGCTCCTACATATGCATACATGCAGTACATAAAGGGTGATTTTATAAATTATATATTATCATTTCAAGAACACACAAACACAAGCATGTCATGGGCAAGTTATAGGATGACTCACATGGTACCAGAAGAAACAATTACAGATTCCTATATTAGAACCACATAAGCATGCACACACCTAATTCCTCAACAGTCACCTAACCTCAAAACTTCTACCTATACTATCTAAAACCCAGGAAATTATCCTTTACTCAAATATAAAAATTATTTAAATATCACAGCAAAGAAATGGGAGTTTTTGGTTGACTATGGAAATAGTTTCCTGCTTTTAAGATAGGAAGAGCATAGAATGAAGAGTTATGTGAGAAATGGGAGGCTGAGTTAAGGTTAATTTAGCACGCACACAAACTGTGAACTCGATACAGTTTCAACAACCACTTATGGAAACATACAAGCATATCTATACAATACTGATTGGTCCCTGTACTGAGCAACAACCTATGGCTGTAGAAAAGCTCATTACATGACAGTAAAGTTCTGCTGGAAAACTGGATACATGACAAGGGTACAAGTGAAACTACATGTACTATACAGAATACAGATGAATGAATGGACAGTGCACAGCATCATCAACTGGCAAAGAAATATATGGGTGGTAAATAAAACAGACTTGGAGATACCAACAAAGTGTGATGAACAGCATCCTAGAAGATCATGTCCAAACAAAATATTGCCCACATGGAGCAACAATTCATAGGGGTCAAAATATGTTAGATTAACCATGGCACCATGGACAATTAACATTATACAGTAGTTAAATTTATCTATTTAAAATAAAAAATACAATAGAACATGCGTTATGCTTCAATACCTCAAAGATCCATAGAGTAACACATTCCCATCACAATGCAAATAACCCCAGAGGGAAATAGCAAGTTCAAATAATGGGAGCAGTCTGAAGCAGTTTATGCACAGCAGTCTTGTCCAGGCAACACGATCCACTTTCAGTGAAGTAATGTCACCCTCTCTCACATTTTATACTGTATTCACAATACTGTTACCAATAATCACTCGAATAAGGCAACATTATTTATTTATTCAACCTTATATATATGCAACTAATGTAATTACAAGTTTTATTACATATAAAAACCAAAAATTAAAAACAACATACTGTAGTGTACTAGGAACCTACACATTGTACTGACTGAAGCCAAGATGCTTTGTTCTGGAATGAGAAAAGCAAACAAATGGTGCATAAGTTAATAAAGGGTGTAAACAAAATCAAACGGCTAAAAGCATGCAATAAAATAATATAAGCTAATAATTATGCAAAACAAGGCTATAACAAAATAAAAAAAAAAGTTATGCTAGGCATGCAATAAAATAGCATTTTTTACTGCTTTGAGAATGCAAAGAATAAAATAGGGAATACAAACTTTTAGAAGAAAATATAAAACACCAATATCACATCTACATGAACAATTATAGTTACTAATACTGTATTACTAAATATATTGTATTACTATCTCTAATTACACAATCTCTACAAGAACAAATACTACTAGAAGGCAAAATACTAATCTATCATGAGGCTACTACTGAAAAACTTCACTAAAAATTTTTTGAATAAATAAAATGTATCTTGATGCAAAAGCAGAACACTTGGAATAAAACTTTATAACTGTCCAAAATCATTTATTCTTTTCAGGAATATATTTACCTAATGCTAATGCTTACTTAAAAGATTCTATAAATTTTTTATTTTAACTTAGGCATCTGTACTCCCACTATATAATATCTTCATCCTTTCTCAGTGAAAAATATTTTATGGCTGATCACAAATGAGATACTTCATTTCTACTGCAAATGATCTAAAAAAAATTCCTAAGCGAAGCTGGCCTAACTGAGCCAGAATAAAAATGTAGTTTGTACCCACTTCCACAAGTAGTGTTATGAGACCCTAAAATTTTTTTCATTCAATTTTCTGTAAAACCTAATTCTTATTTCAATATTGTCACTCTGACAGCAGTGATTCTAAGCTGTCCAATCACTACCTCATATTTTATATTCTTGTTAAACACCTGAAGATCACCATCTTGTTTGCCTAAAAGATATATATATATTTTTTTTCATACATTTGCAATTATCTTTTGCAGTCCTTCATTAACTACTTTATTTTTTATTCTTTAGTGTGTGCAATCTATAACAATTAGTGCAATACAATACAAAGTTAAGTATGTAATACTCTTTTGTTTACTGTCTAAAAAAGATAAACATTTCTATTTTTTTTATATATATTTGTAACTACCTTGTGAAATCCTCCATTAGTTAACTCCTATATTTTTTTTTTTACTCTCTAATGTGTGCAGTCTACAATAGTTAGTGTAATACAAACCCCCCATTTTTGTTTACATTCTAGCATTAGTGCAAACACTGTTAGGTGCTATTGATATACCTAGTCTTAATAGTTCATTATTTTTTATTACTAATCATACAATTTGTTTATGGTGTTATTACTTGCCTAAATTTTGTGCTTTAAGTCAAATCTTACTATTTAAATTTTATTTAAGACCTTTTTTTAACTATCTTTTAACTTCATATTTTTTGTATTATTATTACTTATTTAGTATCTATGCAATCTGTAGAATAGTTCATCTGCTATCTACACTTGTACTGCTCTCATATCACCTCCAGTGCAATATTATCTTTATACTATTTATACATTGTTAAACTTGCATTAGTCATATGATAGCAAACATCAATCCTGACATTAACCTTTTATTAAATGACACACATGATCCTAATAACAATTGACTATTACACTGCTAGACAGTCTAAGACACTACTCAGTGCCAACAATAACATAACAGTATTCAGTTATAATGTCAGATCACTAAGCAAGCACTATGACCTCCAAGCACTATTAAATTCTGTAAATGTCAGTATGCATATCATTACTCTCACTGAAACATGGCTAAAACATGATGTTACAAACATCTATTCCAGCCTGGCTACAGAGCCATACACAATTGTTGGCCAGATCAATTAGGAGGTGGAACAGCTATATACTACTATGATGACCTAGAGTGTATAAATTCTACTTGCACAAGGGATGAACATGGTGAATATCCCTTTGCTAAATTTAAATCCAAATACCTTACAAAACCTCTAACAGTCGGAGCAATTTATGGAGTTCCTCACTCCAATATTTACTCTTTTAGTGAAAAACTAAAACATAATAACTAGCGCTGAAATGAACAAACACCACCTAATACTTACAGGGGACTTCAACATAAATCTCATCCATGACCATGACCCTAAGTGACTGAATTCACAAACATTATGAACAGCTGCTTACTTCTACCAACAATAACAAAACCTACAAGAATCACTGATACAAATGCCTCATTACTAGATCACATCTGGACAAACACTATATCCCTATTAAAAGCAGGCATAATCACAGATAACACCACTGACCATTATCCCATCTTTCTCATAACTAACTTGTGTAAAGTGCCCCAGGACACAACTAAGATCACATTCCAACTACATGACAAGTCATCTGTTAATAACTTTATTTCAGCATTTAGTGGCTGACTGGCAAAACGAGCTAGCAGACAACCTCGATACTGATGAATGTGTTAATATTTTTTTTTTTTACAAAAATCCCAAAACCTCTATAACATGCATTGCCCAATAAAAACTAAGCAGATCACAGGAAAGAGACTAAACAGCCCCTGGCTTACAAACAGCATCCTCAAATCTATTGATGAAAAACATCTATATAAAAACATGTTGATAAATTAGACACATGTGCAACATGTCGGTTCTCTGAACCATTCATCTACAAACATATATGAAAACAGTATAGAATGGGTCTAATAACAAGGATCTCACAAAATGTTACTCGTCAATATTAACCAATCTAATAATGAAGTCCAAAAAACTATATTATGATAACAGATTTCATGACATAAAAGGTGATATGAAAAAGACCTGGAAAACCTTATCTGAAATTCTATGACCAAAAAAAGCTGTTACAAAACAGAATGATTAAGTTAACTAAACCAGATGAACCTCTCCTACAGCCAACCGATACTGCCAACAAACTTCATGTCTTTTTCTCTACCGTAGGAACAAAACTAGCAAGTAAAATTCCAAGCTCAAACATTCAACCAAAAGCCTACCTCACTGGCAACTACCCTAATATTCTATTTTTAGCCCCAACAAGCCCTGCTGAAATCTCGCTTATCATCAAAACACTAAAGAACAAGACAGGGGACCTAAATAACTTACCACCAATCATGCATAAAAAATCTTCTCATGTGGTGTCAACAATTATTGCAACTCTTTTTAACAAATCCACTGAATCTTCCACCTTCCCATCCATACTCAAGACAGCAAGAATCACCCCTATCCTCAAAGGTGATCCAACTGAATTGAACAATTATAGGTCTATATTAAACCTCCCCCTGTTATCTAAAATCTTTAAAAAATTAATACACAAACAAGTCTACACCTACTTCATATCCCAAAACATACTTAACCCTTGTCAGTCTGGGTTCAGACTGAAAAAAAGTACTAATGATGCTATTATACATATGCTTGAACTAATATACTCTGTACTCGAGAAAAATGAATTTTCCCTAGGACTTTTCGTAGACTTATGAAAAGCTTTTTATACAGTTGACCATGACCTTTTGCACCAAAAACTCAAACATTACAGGGTCAGAGGACACTCTCTCGATTACTTAAAATCTTATCTTAAAAATAGAGCCCAATATGTATGCGCAAATGGAGCCAATTCCACTACACAACCTGTTCTTGTTGGAGTCCCACAGGGAAGCATTCTTGGCCCACTTCTCTTTCTCATTTATATCAATGACCTACCAAATACATCTAATCTCCTTAACCCTTTGAGGGTCGACAGGCCCACTCCGAGACTCGTTCTCAGGGTCGGCCAAATTTAAAAAAAAAAAAAAAAAAAAATCTTATGAAAAGATAGAAAATCTTTTCCCGATCATAATGACACCAAAATTATGAAATTTGATGGAAAACTTACGGAATTATGCTCTCGCGAAGTTAGCAGTCTCGGCAATGTTTACGCATCGGTGATTTTGCCCACTTTGAGCCCTATTTTCGGCTAATTCCACTGCACTAGTCAACTAAAAACATGAATATTTAGCTAGAACTCCATTTTTTCTATCGAATGAGTGCAAGAAACCACCCATTTACCAATTTCAACTATCCAACACAGTGGTCAGAATTTAGCAATTTTGCCAATTTCACACAAATTTCAAAAGATGCCAATTTCCGAATAGGGTCCAGAATAAACAAGAAAGACATTCCTGGCACTAAAATGACATTTCCTTTGTTCATTAGTCACGTCACAAGGCCCCTCTTACTTTCTTTTGCTTTCCACTTTGAATTTTTATTCTCACAAAAAATAGAAGATTTACTGTTATGCAGACTACTGCATTAGTGTAAAAGATGGTATAAATAATATTGGCGCACTTGTAAAAGAATATTAGACTCACCAGTTGACGTGTATTGGACGCTTGGCATGATTTGTTTACTTTTGAACTTTGGTAAAAATCGAACATTTCTGCTACTTTGAGCTCAATTTCAAGGTACTTTTCATTGTAAAACCAGTCAAAATCATCTCCATTTCTGTAATATGTCTTCCATTCTATAAAATGAGACCAAGAAAACTAGAATACAACAATAAATACCATACGAAAATACAGTGCAAAGTTGCTGTTTTATTCCAAAAAAACGGTCAAAGTTTTTTTTTTCTCATTATGCACTGTGCTGCAGGATTTTTTTTATACTGTGCACACTGACCACATAGACCCATTCTTTCATATGTAGGCCTACCAGCTTTCTCCCACTAGATTTGAGGGCGCTAGAATTTAGGCGTACTAGTACGTCAAAAACCCTGGGTCGTAAGCCGTACTAGTACAGCCGAAACCCTCAAAGGGTTAAACCCATTTTATTTGCAGATAACACTACTTAGGTCTTTTCTCACCCAAACCCAACCATACTAACAGACACAGTAAGTGGTGAACTACTAAATATATCTACTTGGATGATTACCAACAAACTTACTCTCAGTATAGACAAAACCTACTTCATGCTTTTTGGAAACAGAGCTACAAATGTACAGCTAAACATATTAATAAATGGTTCACCTATCTCAAGACAGGCAGAGGGCAAATTTCT